AATGGGAAGGGTGTTTAGAAAAGATAAATCGTTGACGGGGCGTTGGCTTCGTACAAAAGATATGGCCATCAGAAATGTGAAAGTCTATCATAAAATAGATAAACCATCTCCCTTACAGTCTAGGAAGAGGTGTGTGATATATCTGTATGCGGAAAGAACAAAGTTTGACTCACATCATGACAGTGGACCACGTCAAGCTTATCTCAACGCCAAATAGACATGTTATTGCGTCCACTGATGTTATCTAGGGAAAACTAATATTTAAGAACCATAGAAACATTTTACAAAAGTAAAGCAGCTATTGCATTCAGCTGTTGAAGAGTAACTTTGGTTGAAGAACGGCGTCGTGAATTTGAGATGGTTCATGAGGAAAAATCATTGAAAAAAACGATATTGGAGAGCCATTTTCAAAATGGTATGTACACTACTGCACTTGCCAAGTAGATGTCTAACAAAAAATTTGGATCATTACACAAGATTTCGTCAAATATGATGAAAGTATCTATCAAAATATTTGACGTGTTTGGATGCAATAAATTAGTGTATGCTTGAAAGGGCCAAAGATACGCCTGTGGAATGAAAAAATATACTTAGGGAAGGGGGCTTCGTAAATAAGATGCTTTAAGGTTAGAGGTAATAAAATTTGAACAGTAGTTTTCTATTGACACAAATATTTGACGAGGCCTCACAAGATTTAGTATTAACTTGAACAAGTCAAAGAAGATGTAGCTAAAGACAAATAAGACCTAAAGGGAAACATTATAAGATGAATAAAGAATAGAAATGGCATGTTCATTGTTAGCAAGACTACCCACTATATAACCTCGTTAGTGATTAGGACAAAAAACTGCTACTTACAGATATCCCTGACGAAAACTGTGCACATTATAGTATCGTGTAGGAAAAATATCATTAGCCTCCAGAAACTTGAGAAAAATGTAAGGAAAATAAAATAAAGGAAACCATAGACGATGATAGACATAGTGAATTCGACAATAGAAACTTAGAGCATCTGGCACTGCTACATTTATGCCCCTTGTGACAGATTAGAGAATGGGCAGAGAAGGATCAAATTAACGGATATATTTCTCAATAAATGTATGATGATAAATAAGAGAAAACGAGAAATATCCTTCAAAAGTAGAGGCTTTGATTGAAATTTACTTTGACATGATATAAGAAACAAAAATTAATCCTCTAAGAAGTTCACTAGATTGCAATATCATTTGCAATAACTCGAGGGATAAAATAAAAAAACTGAAGGATTGGTAAAGAAGATAAGTAATTAAACGAATGACTTTGACAATAATCAGTAACTAGTCTAGAATTAGACAATCACCAGATTGATAATAGCTGCTCTAAGACTGTAATAGCAAAGCAATTTTATGACTGTCAACTCCAAGAAAATATCAAACTTTTGTTTTTTTAATTTTCAAATTGATTATTTTCTTCCTACTCTGATTTTCCAAAGAGCTGTTAGATTTTAATGGGTGCTGCAATCAGAGAAAGATGAACGAGAACCTTAGTTTTAAAGTGAAAAAAGGTTATCAGGTTAGACTTATTTCTAATTACACAAAAGCATTTTTCCGACAAGAATGACATTACTAGAAAATAATTGTTATCAAGAATATTTGAAATATTAATCATATGCTACTTAGTCCTCAGGTTAAATACTAAACATTGTTCGCTTGGGTTATAAAAATGTACTTGATTCCATACTCCAGCTGACGTTACAAGGTACTTGAAAGAGGTTACAAGTTTAGCCCAATACCCATTCAAGAATTAATTTGGACGAAAAGTACGCTCATTTGTGCACACTATGGGCCTTCTGGACTTTGGATATATCCTGATTTAAACGCTTTTGAAGTTTGCACATCCTCAACTGGAAAATTATCGGCATAGTTTACTGACTGACGATAATTGTACTTTTCTCAATTAAATGATATTCTTAAAAAAAATGCGAAAACCCCCAAGTTTTCGGAAATGCATCTTCCAAGTGAAAAGGATAATCGAGTTCAAGTAGGTGATATAAAATTGTACTGTGTAGTAATCTTTTTCTACCATGCTCCTCACTACTGTACTTTTTATCCCCAGAACGGTTCTGCTTCCATGGAGAAGTTCTTGGATAGATCATTTTGTGCGTGCATGGGTTATTAGTGTTTCTTTTAAAAATAAGCTGTAGTCCTCAGTACCTTCCGAATTCTCGATATGGGTGCCAAGCTGTTCATCTCGGGTTCTTCCCTTTCCTTATACCGAGGTCAGAGTCCAAGGGAATGTGAAGCCCACGGAGCACCACAGTAGTAGTGGAGCTAGCCAGGACCACCTCATCATTGCCTCGATTTAAACCTGAATGCTCGATCCAGTCGTCAAGGACCTCAATGCCATGAAGTAGACCGGTCTCCTTGCATTTGAATTAGATACAATCTCACAAACGCAGAGGAAGTTCAGCATTAAGTCTTCTCGTCTTATGCCATTTAAGGCAACCCAGTCGTTTCCAGCGACCAAAGACTACCTTTAATACCAAGTCTAGCGTTTATGTCCTACTTCTGGATGTAGTGAACGTGAAAGGCAGCGTACAGTGCAGGTTGACAGAGGGATAGAGGTTCTGCCGTCTTATTTGGTAGCCCATGAGTAACAGAAGCTTTTAGATTTCTCACCTTGTATAGGTAGAAAAAGGAGTAGAGCAGAGAAGAGAAAGGATTGACAGTCTTTTCTTAGTAGGCAAATGACATTTGCATAGTCTTAAGCTCTGCATCTCACTTTGAGCATTTACCTCGTCTCAAAAGCCGGTCGACCAGGGGCATATCCCACTGAGGAAAACCCACGCTCACTCTAAAGAAATCTGATTCCACAGTCTTTTCCCAGGAATATTCCTGGTTATCCAACTAGTATACTGTGTTTCTTCTTTATAAAAAGCTTGGTTGATCCCCAAGCGTCTATTCTGACTGGCCATGTGATGTGGCTCCCCCGTCTGCCGGAAAGCTGAAAGAATTCTGCTCGTACGATGTTTCGTCTGGGTGAAAGGTTTTCACGGTAATACGTACTTGAACGAGGATGCATGGCTCATTTCTGGACTCTTCTTCTTTCATTTCGGTTTTCAACAGTCCAATCTCCCATACAAATTCATTTTATTAGAAACCCAACTAAAGCATGTTTCTTGGAAGTTTTACCTCTTTAGTTGTGACCGTTGTGAAATCTTTTTATGCGGGAACTCGCGTCATATTCGTCAGAGTTTGAGATTCGCTCTCTCTCTCTCTCTCTCTCTCTCTCTCTCTCTCTCTCGCTCGTTTTCTAGTTCTCCCTCTCTCCCTCCCTCTCTTGGTCTATGACAGTTTTGTCCAACTAAGACTGGAAATCATTGGAAATCTTTGACCACAAGTCGGAAGTTTGCCTTCTATATTGTTAGGCGTTATTCTTTCATCCTGAATGTAAAGTAACATTGGCAACTGTTACCGTGCTATTTCACATATTCCTACCCAATCCCAAGGCACCTAACACTGGATATGCAGAAGACGTGAGAGGTCCTATGTTGTGTGCGTTTTCCTCTCACACGTTGACATTGGTTTCTTTCCCCTTTTCCTTTTTGGTGTCCATCTTTTACTTTTTTAATCCTTCCTTTCTCTTTTCTTTCCTTTATCACCCTTCACCATTCCTAGCTGGTTTCTCGTTTAGACGCTGACTTGGGACCACAGGAGCCCACATTAACCTCTTTGGCTCTTCATCCTTGTAGTTTGCACCAAGAACTACCGAAGGGAGAAAATTAGAGCATGAATTCAGACTTCAAGGAATCTCAGAAGGAAAGAGAAAGTTCAACTTCTCGATTTTTTTAGTTTCTGTGCCACGAATTCTCAGAGTATGCCCGGTTATCCACTCATTGAAAATTTTGGTGGGCTTGGCACAGACGGTGAAAATTTTAAGGTAAAACAAGGCACTCGAGCACAAACACTCAGACGAAATGAATCTGCAGAGAGAAAATCATTGAAGAGTAAAGACTGTCAGATCATTTCAGACTTACCTGGTCGCATTTCTTTCATCCGATGAGCTAAACTGAACAAGAAATCAGTCGTGCGATCGTGTTCTTCTTTGACAAAATGAACAATAAACATTTTCTTCATCGGGGAATGATGAAATTGGGAACAATTACATGAGCCAAAACTATCATGTACGTTTGTAATAAGCCATATTTCCCACTTCCAGTCGGATATTACCCGAAAGCTGCAACTGATTATAAACGCATTACTGTGCGTCTGTGCCAGAGAGAGAGAGAGACAGTTACTAAAATTACGTTTCCGCGACTCCACGAGATAGGAGAAACAGTAGGTCATTTGCGCCAGAGGGAGAGAGAGAGAGAGAGAGGATGAGTCTGATAGTGTGCGTGCGTCCATCCGTGCAATGAGGCGCCATCTTCACACATCTACCACTTGAAAGGATATTCATTGGGTCGTCTCGTTAGGACCACAAGTCAACAGATCAAGAGAAGAAAAAAATGAATGCAGCGTCTGTATTCCCCTTCGGCTGGGCACACATGTGCATGGACGTATTCTCTTTCGTCTCCTTCTGGGCAACTGAGAAACAAGCTCTTGGAAGAGAGTTACATCTAGAACAAGCATGTAACACCACGTGTGCACAATAGAAGACTTTACATAGGACCATGGAACGGCGACCACACGCCGGATCCCACCTGTGTTGTCATGGTTCTATGAAACGAGGAAAAGAACATAATGGCCATGGTTCAATGAGAATTCAAAGACGAACGAATTATTCCCATTAAACATTTGTAAGGAAAGAGTACATCCAACGACATAAAGATCCGGACATAGTCTTATTCTCCAAAAAAACACGTCTAGGGAAACAAAACACAGAAAATAGAACACAAAATGAAACCGGTTATCTCCCAAAAAAGATTAGGTCATTTTACCTCTCATTTTAAACCCTACGACTCTTGCTTGTACCTAGAAAGATACTGTAAGGAGAACACAATGCTCGGGCTGGGGCGATCTCTAGTTTCTTACTTCCCACCATGCCACGTTGGCGGCTGTGGCGGGGGTTGCGGCAGCGGCGGAATGGTTGTGGAATCCAAACCCCACTGGTGCTCCAGGTCTCATTGCAGAAGTGACATTGGTGGAAAGACTGACGCGGTCACTTGATGCTGCCGTCAAAGGTGGCGGCGGGGGAGAGACCATGAAGTCTGCCCCACCACCAAGGCCGCCGGCGTCAATGATGGAGAGCAGATCCAACTCAGGCTCACTGGTCACCCCCAGAAAATCCCTGGTCAGCTGGGACTCGCTCCTCTGCCATGGGGGCATGCCTTCCATGTTTAATCTCTCTCCAGTGTGGGTACTGGTGCAGTTTACCAGTTGGCCAACCGTTTCAGCCTCTTGGAGAAGGGCGGCGGCGGACAGGAACGGCGCGTTGGCGATGCTGCTGCTGGGAACTTGGTTGTCTTCGAGAATGAAGGGTAGAGCCCCCATCTGGGGGTTGCCACGGGTGGGGACGAGGCAAGGGTTAGGATTTCGGATTGGCCCATCCCAGCATGGAAAGGGCAGCAGTTCCGAGAGTTGGTCCTGCTCCTGCTGCTGCTGCTGCTCCTGCTGAGTAGGGAAGAGTGGTGTGATACCAGCAGGAGTGACGTCGGCCGGAGCCTCAGTGGCGGCGCCGGCGCCGGCTGCCGCAACCAGCGACGCCGTGAATCTTGCGCTCTCCTCTGCCAGCGCTTCGCAGAAAGCTCGGTGGGTGGCGAAGCTGTCCTTCCTTCAAGGAAAAGAGAAAACCTGGCCTTGTGAGCGTATCGGAAACAAATTATGTAAGAAACAGAATAATTAAAATAAGTCCTGAGAAATATTTTGTGCTCGGGGTGAAGAACTCGAGCATGCCTTTCAGCCAGAAAACTGAAAGCAGATCCGAACAGCGCAACCTCACACTCACTCGGGCCGCTTGCTTCTATTTCTTCTTGAGGAAAGATTCAGTCAAAAACGAGACACAGATATCAGATTAACTCTGATCGGCGAGAAGAGAAGCCACGAAAGACCTTCAGCTTTCCCTTTCCAACCGAGAAGTGGCCCACCCAACAGGACCAGCATGGAGAGGCAGGGCCATCAGCTGACTGAGGGTTACCAAGTTTTCTTCTCATACGTTCTGCAAAGGGATGCGCCCACTGAACCATCCATCATTAGGTGTCAGAGGCAAGCCCATGCAGACCACGAGAGCCGATTACCAAATCCAAAGGGGTTTATATCGTAGAAAGATGATCGAGAAGAGTGGCGAATAACTCGGACGGAAAAAGACAGAAAACGATGGAATCTCTTCGAAAGCAGAAGCCAAGTCGGAGTACGGCAAAAATGAGGAATCGCGAAGTGAGACTCTCAGTACATAGAACATGGACATTATGCATAGAATGAGGAACCAGATGATGGATAGTATGGGAAAGAGACGCTTCAGACTATCACTCCACTGTCTAAAGTCTTCGACCCCAGTGGTCGCTGGAAAAAATCTAGCTCTCGAGGTAGCCGACTTCCTCCTGAAATAGGAAAAGGAGGGACTCCCATCGACCGAAAGGCCTGTCTCTTCCACGGATTCGACGGTAAACCCTAAAATCGGGAAAAACAGAAGGGCGAATAATGACATTATAAATAATTCTTCATGAATAGGAAAATGAAAATAGTTGTGGATCACCAGAACGAATCTTTTTATCGTCCTGAAGGGAAACAAGAGCAAGGAACCATAATCACAGTTATCAGAGATCTTCTCCGATCCCCAGGAAGCAAAAATAATGAAACAAAGTATCGAATACCAGAAAGGAGAATAGGAAACAAAATGGTAAACAAGGTTTACGATGTACGAAAGGCGTAGAAACGGACCGTGAGAAGTTGGCTCCACAGCTACATTTGTACTCACGCGTTCCGCAGGTCTTGAAGTGGGCTTTCCAGTCAGACATGACAGCGTACTTCTTCGTGCACTTGATGCAGGACCATCTCTTCTCCCCGTGCTTCCTCCAGAAATGCTTCTTAATTCCGGTCAAATCACCGAGGGCCCTTGAGGGGTGGTGATGAGTGCAGGTCTCCTCGGGGCACACGTACACCTTCTTCCTTGCGGCTCCGTTGCCGTCCCTCTGCTTGAGCTTCCATGGTAAGTTATGGCCCCTCCGATGTAGCTGCAGGTTCTGATCCCTCTGAAAGCCCTTCCCGCAGATCTCGCAGAGGAACCTGTTAGTCGCCATTAGGGTTCTCGGGGAAAGAGCTACGACTTCCGCTTCTGGGTCTAAAACCAAGTCAACCAAAATAAACAAATGAAAACTTGGAATCAGAAAAAAACAAAGTTATTACAGAAAACCTACCATCAATCTTGAGGAAGAATGAAATCACGAGACAGAGAGAGAGAGAGAGAGAGAGAGAGAGAGAGAGGTGGAAGGAGAGGGAGGAAGACCTGGGTTTCCAGGCTGGTTTCTCTTCTTCTTGACCCTGTGTAGCATTGGTGGCCTGCCTTGTGTAACAAGGGGACACGAGAGATGGTTTACACCGCTGTGGTCACCGACACCATGAGAGACGAAAGTGGAGTTCAACATGACCGATGGTATGTCGAGGAGCGCTGTCCAGATCTACGGAGAAAGCCCTGCGGCAGACGAGAGAGGGAGATGGGATGAGAACCGGGGAGCTCTACGCCTTCATTTATAACCCAGGAGAAGCCCCAGGTGGCATAGGCGCCACTGCAGAGGGAAAAGGTGTCATTGGAAGGAGTGGCAATTTCGAAACGCCCGTGAACTGGCCTTTTCTCCATCTCATGCCTTCTATCGAGCACATCCAATGAGGCCCCTATCAAATCCCACAATAAATCGAGAGAGAGAAAAAAGGGAGGATTAGGGTTTCTGGTCGCCCAAGGATTCCTCCACCCACGCAGCCATGCGGCATCACTTCTCTGTTAATTCAACAGTTGCCATCCTCTCTCTCTCTCTCTCTCTCTCTCTCTCTCTCTCTCTCTCTCTCTCTCTCTCCCGCCCCCTCTCTTATCCCTCCCACACTCTCCCTGTCTCCTTCTCTCCCTCTTCTGGACTAACAGATAAAAGGTAAAATCCTAAGCATTCATGGGTGGTATCTGCCATTGCTGTCGTTTTCTCTGTCATTCGTTAGGAAACGCCTGGCCGCACAAGGACCTCGATTTGAACGGCACGTTGCTTTCAACGAGAAGAAGCAGCTAGAAGAACGGTTTGTTAAGCCTGGAATAGATGCGCCGACGACTGATATCCTGGTAGGGCTTCCGTAGTTAGCCGACTCCTGCGTCGTTTAGGCACACACACTCACACCGGAGGAAGAATAAGGAAAGCCCACCCGGATCCCATATATGATGCCCACCTTTCACTTTCTTGCTTTGGTGATTCCCTTGAATCGTGGTTTGGCACGATCATAGTCCAAGGCAGTGATACCTGGATTAAGTAAAACATCTCTAGATTCCCCTCCTCCCATGTCACTCCTTTCACCTCCCTGCAAGACCTGTGAAAATTGAGAAAGGCTCCATTTGTTCGCATATTTGATAGTATCATAAGAAAGTTTCTAATTTCAGTTGATGGAAGTAGAACCATTTGGATATTCGCATTTGTACTGCTCAAATTCCTTGTTGCCAATGTCTTTTCCGTGATTAGTATTTTAAAAGCACATTCGCACCAGAAAACTAGCCATGCTATCCTTCACACAAACACCAACTGGCTTCGAATTCAATGGAGCAGGAAAACCCATGTTCATGGATGCTATTTACCAACTTCAACCCTAGGCCAATCGGGACAAGTTAATACTTAAAACAGCGGACCGATCTTGAAGGGAACATGCTCATATACGTTCATCCGTGAAAGGGTGGACACAATTCAACCTGAGACAATATGTTTGACATTTCGCTTTAGTAGAAGACAGTATGATTGACCCACGGAGAAGGCATTCCGTTCCCCATGTACAGTTATAACTTGATCCATTGAACATAATTCATCATCGTAAAAGCTTTATGATGAGCTAGAGCTAATTTAATATTTCCAAACCAAGTATCACGAACTTCACCAAGTCTTTATTTGTAGTGACACTCTACTTCATCTACTAGTAAGAAAAACGGAAAATGGTACACCACCGATTAGAGGACACCAGACCGCATATTTGAAACTCGTATGACGAGCACCTATCTACCCTAGATTTCCATTATGAAAAACTTTTTACCACACCATCAAATTTCTATTGAAGACCATTCTGAACTTTACTGGAAAGAATTGTTGAAGCTTGTTACAGCTCTACATATCCCAACCGTATGCAGGCTACCTATTGACCGCAGAGGAGGGCAACTCGAGAACTGAGCTGATTGTTATTCCAATAATTGTAAGTAGTCCATGAGAACTTACAGTGACCTAGATCGCAGGCTTGTTCAATGCTAGTCTCACAGATAAAGATGGGGCCTGATATCCGCATGTAAGAAGAGGCTGGAGATCACGGCCCAAGAGCAATCCACCATACCTTGACAAATAAATATGGATGGTCGGGCGGGTACACATATCACATTGTTAACTAAAATTGAAAACGGACAGATCACCTCAATCAGTTGGACCCGTGAATATTTTTGCAATTTTTTTAATAACTCTAATAGATAGTGTAGCATAGAAAAACAACAAGAATATGTCAGAGTACATTCTCTAGGAGTTAAGCACCACTATTTGAGACAGAAACCATTACTAATTATCATCAGTCTCGATTGTCCTAAAAAACTACCAGCCCAGACCAGTTGTTAAGGATTCACCATTCGGTTACTACAGTGCATCACAATCGAAAGAGATGGTCTAGATAGGAAACTCTGAAAACGTTGTAGAAACATACAGAGGACTTCTGAAATACTGATTCCCACAAAAAACTATAAGCCTAAAATAATGCAATAACCATTCAAAATGTCTTAAAGCCATAAACACTAAAAGTTGAAACTAATGTCTTCATTTAATGGGACCAGTTTTCAAACTATTGGAATGTTTTGAAACAGTTTTCAAACAGTGTTTATCATCCCATCCAAAACACTTACAGAAGCATTGAAAATCATTGTAACTTGATACATGATTATACTTATTACACATGGCTTTTAATGGTTCATCTCTCTTAAAGCTATCAGTAGTTTCTTTAACAGAACAAATAATGGATGAAAAAAAAATATATCATGCCAGTGTGAAACACTGTTAGATAAGACAAACAGCAAAATAGGAATCAACATCGATGTGAATTACAATTTCTGGATAAAATAGATGATAGAATTTCATCCAAATGTCTTTCATTCAAAACTGTTCTTGTTTTTAAACTTTTCTCCCCTAACTTAGAACTATCCATCTTCAGACTTTCTAATAGAATATGGAAACATTGTTAACATAGACATCAAGGTAGAAAAACGAAATTTTATCTCCAACATAACCTGTAGTAACAAAATTAAACAGTTGTATTCTTATGAAAAAGTCAAGTAAATCATCTATTATAAGTCAGATTTCTTGATAAATTTTAAGATACAAAAGAAATTCAATGTTATTGGGCATATCCTTCCTCCTATTTTACGAGTTTTAATACATTAGTCGTTGTTTCATGTTTCTAATGAATATAAGCTTGCATTTCTGTTATTAGGGATTCTAACTATAGTACCAATCCAGTGATCAAAATATGGCATTCAACACTAGGAAGGTTTGGAATTGTACACACATCAACTTAATTATTTTTCTTACGCCTACACCATCTTTACACCATATGTAAGCACCAAACAGTTACTTTTTCAATCTATATGACAAATATTCTACTCGTAGTGAATACCATAAACAAAGTCATCGTTATTTATCATTTGAGTATTCTTATTAAGTTCGAGATTAAAGTTTTAGTTGTCCATTTGAAAAATAAGTTATTATATAATTTTTATTAGAGTTGGCACATTTTCATCACTCTGTTATAAGTCCAGTTCAGGTAAACTGAAAAATACTAACATGCTAATGTAATATAGGTTTCATATGCCAAGTTAGAGACAATGAGTTGGGGCGAAGTTCCATTTATTTGAGGTTTTAACCAAAAAATTTAGTAACCTAATAAGTTAGTATAGTAACCAATTAAGGAATGTGAAGAAACATTTCTAAGGGGAAAATATGAATGGCAGGTTCTTCTTTCAACAGTCATCCATAAAAGCATTTTCAAAAACAATTGAAATTCATAGACTTTTAGGTCGTGATATGTTGAGCTGCTATCATCTAAATATTTCCATCTAAGAGAATCTCTTCAATTTCACCATATTTTTCTAAAACTTAAATTTATTCATGCATTAAACCTCTATTGTTCTAATACTGAATTTAGATGATAAATCTCCTAGATATGCGTGTTGCCAAAGTATTGACAGTTTTAACCCAATACCTATCATGAATCTGTAATTTATCTCAGATTTAGCTGACTAAAATGTGGTCTTTAATAATGAATTATTTCACTATAACTAAAGGACTTCATGAGTAACAAAACAAAGTGCATTGTCCTAGTACAATAGGCATTCAATATTATTTGTTATACAAATCATTCTAACAACAGATGCATAAGAAATTTTATGAGATACACAACTTAATCAATTATATGTATGTTAGTCATCTTTTCTCAAATAAACAACTATTTGCAGAGGAGTTTCAAAAGGACCTAGGGTATGTCCAATAATCATGGTTCTGTTCCAACCATATGTTCAGTGTTCGAATGAAAGTGATGTTAAAATATTATAAGGAATAATAATTCTAAGACATTTACTAGATTGCATGCCATTTCTCTTCATAATGCACATGACTCTTTTCCAATGCATATAAATGAACATTGTAATTATTATTCATTTTTATCATTTTATTTATAGAGTTTTCTCATCTTGCCCTCCAACTCTACTAGACTAAACCTAGCCGAAACTAATATCACAAATATGTCACTGGGATGCCATATTAAGAAATGGAGGCAGAATTTTGAGAAAAAACTGACTCATTTTATATATTAACCCGAAATCCATTTCAACCTTTTAAGAATGGGTATTAATTAATCAATGAATTTAAGTAGTTATCATGATAAAAAGTATAAATGTTTCCCTAGAGGCGGAAATGTAAGAACCTTCAAAATTATTTGATAAAAATATCATTTAACCAACTGTCTAATGGTTTTTATAAAGGAAAGAACATCTAAGATGGATCAATACGGCATCCAATTTAGCAGAACTCAAAACTTCACATGTTTCACTATAATAGTATGATGCTTGAAATATGTTTAAGAGATAAGTTGCAGAAATTTATGCTTTTCAAATACCTTTATCTATCACAATCAATGGTATAACTTGAACACAGACTATTAATGCCTTCACTCTCTGTGAATCCCTCACTGATTTAAAATCAAGTTATTTTTAATAATAATTTTTGGAGGTTATTGAGCTATATATATACCTATATCTTTAATGATGAATTGTCTCAATATCTCCATGCTCACACCAAAACAATTAGCTTTATAAAGACGAAGAAAGACTATATCTGAGAAAGATTGCAGGAAAACTTCCAGCTAAATGACATTCACT